ACGCTGGTGCTTTTGAAGCAGTTGCTGGAGAGTCAAGCTCTTGTAATCGTCGTTCGGTTTCGCTAAGGTGACCATTGTAAAATGCATATGAATGCATTTTCATAAGTAGGACCATAGTATGAAGTAAAAGAAAAACCTGAGCTGTCCATGTCCAATCTCGAAGGAATGGTATGCTATACTACATATCAGCATTGCGCTCCACTATTGTATGCAGTAAGGACACTTACGAAACCCAGAATGCCATCCAAATAATTTGGTATAAACTCTGGATGGCCATCCCTCCTCTGGTCCATTGAAACCCCAAAGATTTACCTGTCTTACTTCTGAAGAAATTATGAAGGGGAAGACTTATGGATGTAGATGCGACCATTAATGCATCTGCGACCCCAAGTTCCCAAACCTTTACCGTGAATAATTGCCAAATCTCCACTCTCATGGGATAACCGGTATCCTTGATATTTCGCAACATCGTTGTGATTGCCATGATAGCAAGACCAATCCAAAACAAAATGTAAAATCCAGTGAAATCATGGTGATCACTGTGTGGATCTAAGTGCGAGACTCTTGAGGTGTATTCGATTATAGGGAAAATACGACGTTTCTGCTCTGCTTTGACTTGTCTCTTCGCAGAGAACATCGATTGAACGGAGGGAGGTGCATCTTCGGGAACAGGTGTTGTACGTCCACTACTTCATGTTAGATACATACAGCAGTTAACTTGATTTGAAAGATTCACCTAGTTGGGCCTGTAGAAATACCATCTTCAGAGAAGTCTTTAAAATTATTGACTGGTAATAACCCCTCCTCACTTATTGTTCGAACAATTGTTGGGTTAGAGCTATTTTGGGGTCTGGGACGCAAGATATGATCATGACTATTCCCATTGGTGTATACATCCGCAGAAGTAGACATCTCGTGTGTATTGAAATGGATTTAGAAATTGAGTGAAGCTGGCCGCAGAGATTGGGGGAATGAAGCTCCTTATGAATGCCCCTTTTGAAACAAATCAAAGTTTGGAAAGGGTCTGGCAACTTTTATGGACTCAGTTGAATATGTCATTTCATAAGGGGAACTCAATTTAGATATGTTTCCAATTTCCTTCATATACAACCATTAGAATAAGAAATATTTTGACCAGATTGACTGATTCATTGCTTATCCATTATCCATGGATGATGATATTCGAGGCTGTGGGTTATATTCCCACCCGTTCAACCAGCGGCCTTACCCGCGTATTAAATACGCACCGGGGCCATACCGAGCCACAGTAGGCTTAATCGTAGCCTCGGGCGCCACCCATTACTAGCACGTATGCGGACTAGACCGAGCTTAGGGGATGCATCCTGAAAGACATCAAGACATCAAGCGAAGTATGGTGGCCTTTGCATCATCAATTAGGCACCTCAGAATCAAAACGACTATTCAATCACTTTATTATTCCTGCTCCTTTCTTGAAGCAAAACTTGTGATCTCTTGAGCTGGGAAGTTTTAGAAGTTTGGCCCATTTTGGGCCTTGAACAGTATCAGAATGAGTTCATGTAAGTAATAAACAATGATGCCCCATACCCCTCGATTTCCAAGCTCATCATACACAGTGAAGCAATTCATTCGCAATGTGCGAGCTTCGAAAACAATCGCAGATGAGCGCGCAGTCGTACAAAAGGAGAGTGCTGCGATAAGAGCAAGTTTTCGTGAAGAGAGTGGTGATCATAATGTCAGGTAGGAAGGTCACCGCTTGTTTATTTGAACATATCTGACGTATTGGATTGGCAGACGAAACAATGTAGCGAAGCTATTATACTTATTCACGTTGGGTGAGAGAACACATTTTGGCCAAATAGAATGTCTCAAACTTCTTGCATCTCCAAGATTTGCGGACAAGAGATTGGGTTATTTGGGAACAATGCTTCTACTGGACGAAAATCAGGAGGTACTGACATTGGTTACAAACTCTTTGAAGAAGTATGCGCAACTGTTAGACTCATGGAGCCATGAAGCTGACTCGAACACAGTGACCTCAATCACTCTAATCAATATATTGTTGGATTGGCTCTATGTACCCTGGGAAATATTGCATCGGTCGAAATGTCTCGAGACCTGTTTCCTGAAATCGAGACCCTTCTCTCTACCGCCAACCCCTATATTCGTCGCAAGGCTGCATTATGTGCCATGAGAATATGCAAAAAAGTACCAGATTTACAAGAACATTTCCTCGAAAAGGCCGCAAACCTACTGTCGGATCGAAATCATGGTGTTTTGTTGTGCGGTCTTACATTAGTAACAAATCTCTGCGAAATGGACGAGGCAGAAGGAGGAGAGGAGGGAATCGTGGAGAAATTCAGACCATTTAGCGGCGGCTTAGTTCGAACGCTGAAGGGATTGGCTAGTTCCGGTTATGCCCCTGAGCATGATGTCACTGGAGTTACGGATCCATTCTTACAAGTTAAGATATTACAATTGTTGAGAGTTCTTGGCCGTGGAGATCCAGAAACAAGTGAACAAATCAACGACATTTTGGCCCAAGTTGCTACAAATACAGATTCTTCAAAGAACGTTGGAAATTCTATTTTATACGAGGCCGTCCTTACTATCCTTGATATCGAAGCTGATTCTGGTTTGAGAGTACTTGGTGTCAATATCCTTGGAAAGTTCCTCTCAAATAGAGACAACAATATTCGATATGTGGCATTGAACACACTCATTAAAGTGGTCGCAATTGAGCCAAACGCAGTTCAGCGACACAGAAATACCATACTTGAATGTCTTCGAGATCCTGATATCAGTATTAGGCGGCGTGCATTAGATTTAAGTTTCACTCTCATCAACGAAAGTAATGTCAGGGTACTTATTAGGGAACTCCTTGCTTTCTTGGAAGTTGCCGATAATGAGTTCAAGCCAATCATGACCAGCCAAATTGGTATCGCAGCAGACAGATTCTCGCCAAACAAAAGATGGCATGTGGATACTATGCTAAGAGTCTTGACTTTAGCAGGAAATTACGTCAAAGAGCAAATTCTGTCTTCATTCATTCGGCTTATTGCCACCACTCCTGAATTACAAACTTATGCGGTGCAGAAGCTCTATACTAGCTTGAAAAAGGACATTACTCAAGAAGGTCTTACTTTGGCCGGTGCCTGGTGTATTGGAGAATACGGAGAAACTTTACTTCGTGGTGGACAATATGAGGAAGAGGAACTTGTCCAAGAAGTCAAGGAGAATGAAGTTGTTGATTTGTTTTCAACCATTCTTAACAGCAGTTACGCCACTCAAATTGCAACCGAATACATTGTCACATCCTTGATGAAGCTCAGTACACGTCTATCAGACCCTGCACAAATTGATCGGATTCGACGAATCTTGTCCAACAACTCCACGAACCTCGACATTGAGGTTCAACAGCGAGCGGTAGAGTATGGCAACTTATTCAGCTATGATTCCATCAGAAAAGGTGTATTGGAAAAAATGCCACCACCACAAATTAAGGAAGAATCCCGAGTTCTGGGAGAGGCAAGCAAGAAACCAAGTAAAGCATCTAACAGGAAGTCAAAGATCGTCAAACCAGCGGAACAGGATCTGTTGTTTGACCTAATGGGAGACGGAGGAATGCCTGATGCAAGTGTTGGAGGTGCTAATAGCGGATTTCAAAATAATGCAGACCTTCTAGCAGACATACTTGGAGGCACCGATTCATCTCAACCTACATCACCTCCAGCTCAACAGTCAAATATGAGTTCAATTATGGACCTATTTGGTAGCACTCCATCTCAACAACCCCCATCTGCTACGGCAACTCCTTCAAACGATATTTTCTCTAGTGTATCTTCGCCCCCACCTCAAGCTCCTTCAATCCCAACCCATCCATGTTACGACAAAAATGATCTTAACATTACATTGCAACTTCAACGAAATGCAGAAGGTTTAGTGCAAGTCTTGGCTCGTTTTAAGAACTCCTCCATGCATCAATCTTTCTCTGCAGTGGCATTACAAGCTGCAGTACCTAAAACGCAAAAACTCCAATTACAAGCTATGTCAAGCTCTGATCTGGGACCCGGGGCAGAAGCAACACAATCAATGAGGATTACAGGAAGCAAAGGGGTAAGTTTTCTTGACAAATTGCCACAGACCATTTACTGATTGTTTTAGCCACCATTACGACTGAGGTTAAAGATTTCTTATGCGCACCCAACTGCGGGACAAGTTACGGATCAGGTAGATTGGTCGGAGCCAAGGTAGTGAGGCTCTAAGTAATCGAACTGCATTTAGAAAATCTATGAATTGTTATTATTACTCGGCGTACTGCATGAAGTAATTGGTCGGTGGCGCTACTTATGTTCGCCCAGGTGTCAGCCTGCCCTGGAAGCTCGTAACGTGGGCGGCAAAGAATACAATGGAGACTATTTATTAAAACCAATGAACTTTGAACCAACTTGTTTCGATGTACGTTTTCTGATTTAGGGCCCGGTTGGTGGCGTATTCTCGCTTTAACAGCCTGGAAAGCTCAACGACATTCACACCAACATTTTACTTTTTCGAATTGTGAAACACACACTTTTGTTGTAACATCTCACCTAATCTTGACATGCTGAAAAACAGCCGATCAAGTATGAGTATGCATTTTTCAATGTCGAGCCTCCCAGGTGACTAGGTACCTAGTGTATCTCGGTGGAACTTACCCCTTAGTGCTAATAGCCGGCTCTCGTTAGTGGTCGATTAGTTCTTGGTCTGGGAAAAGCACATGATACTACAATATGAATATGCCACTCGCTCTTTAAACTTAACTAACAATATTTGTATCGATAAAATCATATAACTGAATTTTATCTGATGATATGAAGCCAATTATTACATTAACTTGAATTTAGGTGGTGTGTAGTAAAAATTAGAGATTTCCTGTGGCAATTTTCTATCAAGAATGAAGATCGAAAATGCAACAAGAAAGCTAAAGGAACAAGTGTTTTTTCTAAGACAAACACTTTCCCCAACCAGGAAACAATCGGCCATTGTCGAGAGTCAGTTATCATATAAAATGATCGAATTGTTCCTTTGGGTTATAATGGCTGATCGAGTTGATCTCATATTTAAGAATTTCCTTCGAGTTGTCCAAGCATACCAGTGTGGGTTCAATTCTCGTTGCCGAGAATCGAGAATTGATTGAAAGTGTACTTTTCGTGATCTGTCAGTGACTACCTAGTAAGTAGTATCAATTGAAACGAATTGTACTTATCTTAAACATGAATTGGTAGATTGTGCCTTTTTATAGTCTCAATTATAAGTGACAAGAGCGGGTTGTTGGTTCATTCTCGTTATCACAACTAAAGGAACCCGTATTGCGCCTTCCTCAAAAGTCAAAAATTGATACCAGTCGCGGTGATTTCTACATATTACTTATTTACAATACACTTCTGATTTGAGTATTGACAGAACATTGGATTCAACGCTCTTACACTTGTCTCAGATCAATTCTGGCCTCCCAAGAATCTTATAAGTTGAATCAGTCTTGTTCTTACCCACGCAGTACTGCATCAAATGCAAAGATAAGCAAAGAATCAGTGGTGACAGGAACAATGACATCTATCACGTTATCCGAAGTGGAGCAGGCGGACATCTTAAGACAAGAAGGAAACGATTTGTACAAATCGAGCAAACTCCTACGATGTATGGTATCACGATTTGATTGGCTTACTGGTCATGGTGTCTGACTTCAAAAAGCTATAACCAACTATCAAGAATCCACCAATCTTGTACCGGACAATTGCAAACCTCTTGGTAATTTATCGACGGCGTATTTCGAAGTTGGGAATTATACCCAATGTATCGTTAAGGCGAGAAGAGCTCTTCAAATCTTGGGGGAAAGCAAGGACAATAAGAATACGGATTTGGTAGAGAAATTCCAACAACGGATAAAAAGGGCAGAAATACATTCGTTTGAATCTTCCGAACTGAAGCAGCTGCAAGCTCGACCCACAAATTCTTGAAATACTTCCTCGTTATCGGCCAACATTGTAAAAGCCCTCTTAAATTCTTGGATTTATCTGACCAATTGCTTCTACAGTGCTACTGCCAAGGAATACTGCCGTGTCGGCAATGATAAGCCTGCTTCGTTGTTTCATCATACCATTGACAAGAATGAGCCTGTGTCTAGTGATGTCTCCTTTCTATTCGGTGGGATTGGCGATGCACGCAATTTACTTCAAACAATCATTGGCATTTCTGAGCTTGAAAAGAAGCACCACATGAAGAAAAAGCAATATCATCTCACCATGGTCGATGTCAGCAACAATACTATTACAAGAGACTTGATCATTTCTATGTTGCTGGAAGAATATTCTAACCTCGAGCCAAGCTCCGAGAAAGCTGAAGGAATTCTATCTACTTTGTTTTATGTCTTTATTGCCATCATTATTCCCTGCATCACTTTCAATCACTTATATCGCACCATCGATCGAGCCCTCTCTTTGCTACAGTTAAGCACACAGCCTTTGAGTTGGATGCATCTTCGTGAGGAGGACTTTTGCTTATACAATCCAAACTTTGGAAGACTGGAAGGGCAGAGCTTTAACTTGCATCACCACTGCCAACGCAGTAGATAAAGTAATCTAGCAACTGCACCGAAATAAGATGATACTACCTCCAGCGTTACGTGGCGATGAAAATGTGCCCACTGCTTTCAAGAAAGAAAATAAACTCTACAGGGCTACAGCGGTTCTCATTCCTCCCACAAGACTTCTTCGAAACCACAACCCTGCAATCCTAGCATTACTCCAAAATCGAGGCAGTGATCCAGGAAAAAGCGATGCAGCATTAAAAAAGCATCCGCGTGAAAACTGGACTTCAATACAACCCTAATGTATCTCGATTGGTATGATTTTCTGCAGGACAAGAATGATTTTGGCCTTGCCAACGATCCTTTCCATGATTTAATAGACTCTCACTCTGCATCAGAACCCTCGCCTTCGGAAGTAAAGACTCCTGCCTCTTTATATGATTACATTGCTCCATTCTTTCAAGATGCAGCTCGCTCCACCAAATTCCTCAGTGGTCGTCTTCAGGCTGAAGCTCTGTGTGATGATTATGTGGATTTTGCGGAGAAATTAAGATTCGGATTGTACCGCGATGAGAATAGTCTACAGTCATCAGACGCCACAGCATCGAAACTAATTCATCGAAAAGACTTCCCAGTCTTGTATGACCGGATTCACTTGAGTAACGTACCGTGCGTATCCCATTCTTCTTGTTTCACTTTTACTCCACTCCGACCGCAGTTGAAGCGCGTTCATTACCCAATGTTCTGAGCAATGTATGGGGTTTCAATCTTATTTCTTTATTATGATCCTTCAATGCTTTTCTTTCGAGAAAGTTTTCCTTTTATCGTTTCTCGAGAGTCCAGACTGATCAAATTTTTGTAGTGACTACCTAGGTATGTAGGCGGGCATCTTTCCACATTTCTCTATGCTTCACAAATCTTGAAACAACGACCGACCAGCTTTGTTATATCAAACTGTCTACGGAATACGCTCGCCATCAATGATGTGGAAAGCTTTCTGGCTGAATATCAACTCATTACTGATACCAAGATAGCCCAGCAACTTACCTCTGTGACGGTGTTGTCGCGTGGTGAGGAACCATGGCCAATGGCCAACTATATAGATTATGGATCATCAAAGCCTTTCTTGCGGCAATTTGGAGGTTTACTTTCCCGGAAGCCCTTTATGAAGTGGTTCTATGCTTTGTTCTTCCGCCTTGCTATACCATACAATTCAGACTTAAACATGTCGGCTACAGTAATATTCTCGCCTCTGACTCTTACCATCATATTCTGGCTCATAGCCCATCTACGTAGCATCGGCTATCCCTCTCATTAGATGTCTGAAGCTTTGTTAAACATTCTCGAAAACAAAGTCTAGACTACAGCCCGCCCGCCTCGTCATTCGCCAAATCCAGTCACTGAAGTGAAACGCGAGCATGCTGAAAAGCACCTTTGTAATTTGCCATTTATTCAAGAGATGGGGACCCTCGCAAGACTGTTCGAGCCTTTGCTACCTTTCTCCTTGCCCTCTCTACCCGGCATTCCAAAAGAGAATACCATCTTCAAGTACAAATTTCACCTAACTAATGTTCGTCTGAAGCAAACGCACTCCATGCGTATGTTCAATCTTGCACTTGTCTTTTACAATTATGATATTCTGAAAGAAATGTGGAAAGATCTTGGAAGTTACATTTTCAAAGGATTTGAGAAAACTACTTGATCCTAGCTAGGGAGATGAGAAAGATGCAAGATAGAAGGGTACGTCGATCGAGGATTTGAGAAAAAGGGGAGTAACAGTTTGGACTACTGTCGAATATGATGGAGTGAATAGTATTGTAAGCGCATGGATGCCAGAGGCTTTTGTTGAAAAGATGGAAAGGGATTGGTGGAGATTTGGCCTATGGATAGTTGATACTTGGGAGACTGTTAATTATGGTCCTGTTGCAGTAAAAGGTACAGTGTTTAAAGAGGAAAAATGGGCAAACGCTGCTTAATTTCCAGTGACAAAAGTGGCTGCACGACCTGATGGACGACTCCTCAACTTGGAAGTTCTTAATTCGTTTCAGTATTCAATTATTTGGCTTCAAAGCTGTTGATCTCATTGACTGCTTGACTTGAAAAATTGATCTCTAAAATTTAAAAGCATATATATGGAGATTTAAAGAATGCTGCATTGATATAAGATATCTGTATAATACATTGTCATACTTAAGGTTGGAGCCAGCAAGACCACAATAATGAATGTTTGCTGCTTTGATGATACTCATTAAATGAAGATTGAAACAGAATTATTGGACCAACCTGCATGTGAACAAACATTCATCAAACTGCAAATTTCCGCTTCATCTTTGCTGTCTTTCATTCAATTGCTTGTTTCCTTGACATTTACAGTGAATGACCAGCGTGGTTATTCACTAAGTGGCTTACAAGTGCGAGATACAAAATTACTGCACTTTGGACATTCTTTCGTTTCTTGTTTAAATACTCTTATCACCCCCCTCATTTTGCAAGCCTACAACCTTCACAATCATCAAAATGTCTTCTCCGGAAGATCTCTCAAAAAGGTTGCGGGAGGAGGGCAATAAACTGTACAATTCTCGGGACTTCGTCAACGGTAAATTATTTCTCCTTCTGGCTCTATATGTAAAAGCGTGAATCTAAACATTCAAACAGCGATCCATAAATATATGCAAGCAGCTCGAGCATCCCAAGATGATCCAGCACCACTTCGAAATCTCTCTTCCGCTTATTATGAGAGTGGCCAGTATAAAATGTGCGTGTTATTTGCTAAGAAAGCTATTCAATTGATGAATAAAGCAGCCACTGGCGATAAGGATAGTGCCTTCACAAAGCACATTCAGGATTTGGAGGAAAGAATCAGGAAAGCCGAGAACAACCTGCCGGAATGCCCTCTTCATATGCAGAAAGAACGCAGGGTGGAAATCTTGGAGCGACTTGCACGATATCATGCCTCAATGTAAGTGGATTGGATTTTCATCTCCATCTCCATTATCTACAGATTGGTTGAGTGGATGGATTTAATGCGTTGCAGGAGATCCGCGGGAGACTACGTGACAGTCGGTCATGACAATGCCAAATCCCTCTTCGACGAATCCCTTGCGCTACAAATCCCTGCCGGCGAGACCATCTCATTCTTCAACAGCGGACTAGGCGACGCTAGACACTTCCTAGCATCGCTTATTAGTATCGCACACGAAGAAGCCAAGGGAAAGATACCAAAACGTCGATATCACTTCACGTTGAATGATATCAATAAACATGCGCTTACTCGAGATCTCATCATATTCTCTCTTCTAGATAAGCTCTCCCAGGTCAAAAGAGAACAAATATTCGACTATGTGAGCATCTTGAACACAATCTACTTTATCTACGCATCATGTTTAATGCCCAAATGGGTCAATGAACAGCTGCAAGAAGTTATTGCAGAGCTTTCAAGATGTCTGAGAAATGGCCAACAGCCATTAGAATGGATTTATCTGTCTGAAGCAGATATTCCATCCTACATCCAAGCGCTCGAAAATTGGGTATCTGGAGGCAAAGTAGCGAACGTATTTACCGCTAAAGAAGTCATGGAATCTACCATAAGTACCATGGATGACTCTATATACAGTAATAAGAGTGCCGAATATTGGGAACACATTGGGCCATACTGCAACAAGGAGAGAGACCTCTATTGTGCAACGGGAGTCCTTCTGCCATTCCTGCAAGCAATGCAGAAACATGATCCAAAATTGGCGGATTTGAGCCTCAAAGCATTGCACAATCCTAGAGGAAGAGAATCGCGGCTTTTCATGACCCATGTTATGACGGATGACTGGGTATTTAACCCGACAATGCTTGATTGGGATGCGCATATAGATATTCGAAATCCGGAGCCAAGAGCCTTTTTGCGATTTGATCCATTTAATCTGGTCTCGAGACTGTGGGTGGAGCTGAAGGAGGAACTGCCACCCACGGAACAGTATCCACACTTATTCGAACACATTGCGCCGTTTTTTGCGAAAGCAGCACGCGCAATCAAGTCTTTGGGTAGTAGACTGAAGGTAGAGATAGTAAAGGGTGATTACATTGATGTTGCTGAACGAATCCATTTTGGTCTCCATTATGATCCCACTCAGAGTCAGGCACTGGACACTGGGGATATTGGGTATCCGCGCCCAAAAGACTTCCCATCGCTTTATCACCGAATATCCTTGAGCAATGTACCGTGAGTACACTCCTTCTAACATGATAGATGAATGCAAAAAGTCTAATATTACAATATAGTGATTATGTCGGTGGCCATTTAACAACCTTCCTTCATGCAATGCCGCTCCTCGCCCGCCACCCTACTACTCGTGTGGGCAGTGTGTGCCTGCGAAATTCCCCCTTTTTCCGCAACATGGATGAATTCCTTTCTGAATATCAACTTGTAAGCAGCGAGAAGATGCTCGAACAATTGACCGGTGTGCGTATTGCTTTCAAGGGACGTGAGCCTGTGCCACTCGCCAACTACACATATTACTGTTGGAATCAGCCAACTGAGTCTGTACCGCTTTCAAAACAGGTGAAAGCCCGACTTTCTCGTGATGATCTGAAGAGGTGGTTTCATGGACTTTTCCTAAGATTGGCAATTCCTATGACGTCTGATCATCGTCTCATTTCAGACAACAATCATATGATCTATTCGCCGCTCAATCTTACGATTCTTTTTCGTCAACTAGCTCACCTTCATTGTTTAGGATATCCTGCTCATTGGCTTTTAGAAGTCCTAGTCCCATTGCTCGAAGATGCCGGAATGCTCAAGACTAACGTTCGACCACCAAGCAATGTCCCACTTCGACCCGATCAAGTTGATTTAAAGTATCCGTTCAAGGAACTTTGTATCGTGCCTTTTGTGCCAGAATTGAAAACTCTTGCGACTCTCTTTGCTCCTCTACTCCCATTCCGCATCGATCCAAATCTTCTCTATCCCATCGACAAAATCCACGAATACACATTTGATCTCTCGCCATTACCAGAGACGTTTTTCCAGCCAACATGCCTCGTTCTCCTTTTCTGGTCACCAAATGGCAGTCCCAGCGGCCACTTCCCTCTAGAATTGTATCCCAGTCTGCGTCCGTTTCTTGATCCAAGCCGGAAATATGGCGTCGCTGATCACGGATCTGAAGATGCAGCGCAGAAAATTGAGGATTGGAGAGCCAAGGATGTTATTGTGTGGTCGACTTTGAACTTCGATATTGAGAAGCAGGAAGCAAAGGCATGGATGCCGAAACAGATCATTGCGCAGATGGTGAATAAGGAATGGAAGTGTGCGCTTATGAGAAGAGACCTATGGATGATTGTTGGGGCTACGCTTTTGTCGACCTCGGGGCGCGTCAGAGACATGGTGAAGATGGGAAGAAAATGGGACGAAGGCTTCAAAGAGGATGACGACACAGAAAAGGATGATGATGGTAGCAATGATGATGGTCGCGATGATGAGGATGCTTTGCAAAGAAGTGGCCCCAATACTATGGATCACCGAATGTTCCAAGCAGTAGTAGAGGAGATTTTCAACGACAGTAAGAAGCTGGGAGCCGCAAACAAGAATATTATTGATGGTGGCGGGGCGATGGACATGAAGAATAAGAGTGAAGACGATGATGGTGGCAAAGATGATGAAGACGATGTAGACGATGAAAATGATGAGTATTATGATGAGCACTCGTTGGATTAGAGTTTTAACATGGAGAGTTGGATATCAAAGACGGCAGGTTGTATGAAAGCAATGAGTATCCTGTCAACAAGTAAACAAAAAGCAGAAACGTATCTACAAAAATTGAAGACCATGCACACACCCAAACATGCAGACGAATTCCACTCCATTTCGAAATCCTCGTTTAATGTTTTTTAAGCCCAACTTACTTGTTTAGAAAACTTTACTGACAACTCGCGCCGGCTATAATTGCCAAACGTTGGTGAAATCACATCTTTCAGACCTTATCTTCGCATCTTGATGCTCAACTTCGAGTCCATGAAAAACATGCACCCTTCTTTTCATAATTACTGAGCTCAGCAGCACTCGCTTCAAACTCTGCTTGGCATCTGACTGTTGTCCTGCAAAGTTGCAGCCTGTTTCACTCTATCGGTTGCAGCTGAGAATAGTACATCTCACTACCTCTTCAAAGTCCTTGCTTGGCAGAGGAATTTGCCCTAGTAAACGGATCATAGTCTCTACAGGAATCTTCTACACGTGGGCGGCAGTCCATCGGCACTGGTATGCCGAGGAGATACACCCGCCAGGATCCCAATAGAAGACAGAAAACCTAATGAAATTCTCAGAGATGAGATTGCTTTTAGTACTGCGTGTATATCCACTTACAAGCTTCAATGGCAGTCATTCAACTCACCAATGACCATCTAAGAACCCATTGTTATTTGCTGCACTATGGCATCCACACTCTGTCAAAAACCGCGCTCGTAGGTCCAGAAAGCATACAGCTCCGAAGCTAGATGCACATACCACAAAATGGTGAACTGGAAGGGGACTATAGTAAAACCTCTCTATAAGGATTTTTCTTATAAGGATAACCTCTCTATAAGGATATATTTTTCAATCCCAAAAATTTTCAGGGCTAAAAATGATCTATATCCTTAAAACCCTTTTATAAGGATATCCTTATAATTTCCGGTTCTAGGATTATGTGTATTTTTATTAGGTTAATAAGATTATTAGGATTTGAGCTATTATATAATAAATATAGTTAGATTTTAGAGTTGGTGGAGAGATTTAATTGAAACGCAAGAATTGTTATGTAAATAACCCGATTGGGACTAATCCGAAAGAAATTACTACTATATCGGGATTAAGTGGAACCTCTATATAAGAATACCTCTATATATCCTTAAAAAAGACTATAAAAACCGGTATCCTTATGGAGAGGTTTTACTGTAATCTGCTTTTATAGCGGCGGACTCACATATTGTCTGGCAGCACGCGTACTGTATCATGCTCGCTAGCTCAACTCATTTCTTTTTGACTGCCGCAAGACACTCCACATCTCGATGAAGAGATACTCACCATACCTACCTTAGCTCAGCATGTTTATTTTTTTCTTCCAGAGGTCCTATTTTGACCAATTGAGAAGCTCCACGACTTGTAGTATCCACTCCCTCACCCCGGTATCTGGTATCTGCTCTCCATTTTGTTTATCTCTTCCCCTCCTTGAGTTAAATTATTTATCTCATTACCAGCCGCGGCATCAACGCATTAACACAACCCCGCAGCTCCATAAAAGTCGACATTCAATCCGACGCATAAAATCTCTTACACCAGTGTGCTGGAAAGAGATTTTCCTCCGAAGACTACACTTGCATCTCATCCCAATATCGCGATCGCAGTTTGATTTCTCAGCGACATCGCTCACACGCATCATCGCGTGTGACAGCAAACTCTTGTTGCAGATCTGAAAGCCCAAAATATGTCGAAACGGTTACACGCACTGAGGCACTCTCTGTGAACACCGGCGCTTCTCGGACACTTCTTATCAGAACCCGCAATTTGTGCACCCTCTGCCTATTCCCATCTCATCTGTTATGCTACTCTCACAGCCTCACAGACCTTTTTCCTCCCTACCCACTCCAGCCCAACTCAAACTCAAATCCAAAACCATCTCCGCATGCATGAATGCCATACAACCTCCAAGAAACAAATGGTCGGGCCTTCCCCGCTCCCCATCACTCTCAAACTCCACCTGACAGCTCACCGGTCTGCATATCACGTGAAACGAAGCCAATTAAATCACATCCTCATCATTTCCACGATGCTTGTATCCAATCGTTTCTGTCTGCTCTTATCTTTAAAGGGGTGAGAAGCATTGAGTGAGCAAATTGATATGTGGAGATGTCGAAGAAATGTTCTCGTGAGTCCGTGCAGGAAACATCTCATTTGTCAATCACGTGCTTTGACAGGATCGCTAATATCGTTACTGTACGAAGGGTACGGAGGGAAAAAGGGTACCCTACCCTACGCACTACTGAGACAATTTGAAGATCAGGCTAAGATCAGGGTATTTGGTAAATTGCAATATTGGAGCCCTAGATAACGTATCCAGGAAAGAATCCAACTTTCAAGGGTTCACACTACTAATGCATAATGATAAGGTAGCAATGTTAATGTATGATGTTTGTTTGATTTATATTTCCTTGATCTTGTTACATCCAGTTCAGTCCAGCTAACTATTTACACAGTAAATAAAACAAGTGAGGCGTTTCCGAAGAAACCGCTCCAAGATACTGAAATGACATATCTACATGAAGTACATGAAGTACACAACCATCCATCATTGCTTGTTTCCTCTCGTGCACATGTATGATTTACGATATATGCATTGTAACCCCCATCTAACCCAAGCATCAAAATATCTCCACGGCCCTCCCTTGCCATAGGATCTAAAAATATGAAAACACCCATGAAACTATGGATGTCCACCTCCACTCAACAGTCTAAAGACCATTCAAAACGATAAATAAATATCTCACGATATGCATCAGTGACATCACTCCACATTCTTCTCAAAAAAAATCACTCAAGCCACGCAACTGCGTTTCTTGCTGGAGAATTAATTCGGTTCCTCTCCGAGTCTCCGAGGCCGAACCCAATCATCACGCTCCACGCTCTGTGGGGTATTGGAAACCCGGATAAAATGCAAGGATAATAAGGGTGCAATATGACCGGTTTTTTTATCCTTTCTCTTGGCATGAACGATAGTAGGGACAGGAGGCTGTGTGCATGCGTTTTTGAGGATATATTGTTTTGGAGATTTTTTGAGTGGAGGATTTTTCTGCATCATTCGACTGTGGGGGCGGGAGTCGACAGTAATAGCGATGGCGATAGTAAGATGAAGTCGTAAAATGAGGTCGTATTGAGTTTGGCTATGCTCGTCGTTGATATAGTCTTTTGGCGGGGCAGATGTAATGGCGATGCGATGCGACGCGATACAACCACACATCTAAAACGCTCCCGCGTTGTACAGTGTATACTTGCAATCATCTAACACATGTGTACAGTGATTCTTCACCCAAAGGTACTGGTAACGCATGGTATGGTATCGTAAATAGTAGTACTGTATTGTAACAAATCGGTATCGGAAATAGGTATCAATCGTGCCCTCACATCATAACTCCATACTCCAAGTTCCCTAATCCTTTCCCATGGGCTTCTTTCCAAGAAGTATTCCCTGAACTCCAAACCATCCGGAGGCGTCTATCTTTACATCCATCCAAGTCCCAATCCCGTACCTTCGAAGTCGTTGTTGTTAAGTTGTGATTGTCGCACTGTACACGCTCGTTGAAACCCCTTCACCAATTCTCGCTTCACTTGTAACCAACCATCTTGGCACAACGATCACAATAGTACAGGTTGTGACCGAATCGTACCATGCCGTTGGCGCTTGCATCATCTGTGCTGACTCTTCGTAGCTCGTTGCCTTGGTATTGCATTGTGCTGATGGTTTCGACAGTTTTGGCGCATCTCGAGCAGCGCATAACTTCTACTCTTGGTTCCATTGAATATGATGATTGAAAGGATGAAGACGATGATGAGGATGAGGACGAGGAGTCTGATGACGCTCTGGAGAATGTATAGGATGACATTTTGTATGTGTGTGTGACGTATGGAGGGAAGGTATTGATGATGTGGGCGAATTCTCGCAGCGAGATAAGATGGTGTATGTTGGATCTGGTTGATGGTTCGAAAATGATGGAGTTATCGAGTATATGATAAAATCTCAATCGATCTCAACACAAGATATAATGTGTTTTTGAAGAGGAATACTTGGTATGTACCCTCGCTCACTAAAATAGAAAAGGCGGCAGATCCTTGGCTTGGAATGCGGGCGGATGCAACGGTGGTAATATGTAGAAGAGATGTGAGTGCTGCGCAATATTGGACGTGCCAGGTAGTAGTCGATACGGATCGTTTGGATAGGAATATGGAAAAAGAAAAAAGGTTGCGTTAAACTTTCCCAAGAGGCTTCTCGGACTTTTACATTAATTCTCCAGATTGATAATGGTAACGAGATGATTCTGTTAAATGAAAATGCCAATGCCCATGCCAACACCAATGAGGAGCCCTACTCAGGTAGTCGAAATCAAGGCGGGGGGAACTCGTCTCAAGTTTTTCTTAATTTTTCCAACCGGGATGGAAGGTCTTTCAAGAAAAAGACCGATCGAAATATCAGTTTCCGATCTCGAGTCAACAGGCACTCTCCAGGGTGTGGAACCAGCTACCCTAAAAATGGGATTGTGTGATGTAGATCAAGGAACGGGGGAGATGGACAATTGATGTTGAAGCCTTGAAGGGTACGCTTGTTTAGTTTGACATGAAGAAAAAAATAAAATGTTCCAGTGCTGGTGGGAAAAGAAAGCAAAAGGAAAAGGAAGAGATTTGAGTCTCCGAGTTTCTGACCTTTTCAACGCGAGAGAGATGGATGTGGTGTAGCGGGGGCAGTCCAGCGAAAATACTAAAAAATTCAAAATAATTGTTCCAAGTCTTGTTGTGGATTGATTAGCTGATAGGTGGAGCACACGTAAACTTTGCTACGGAGTAGGTATGTCTTGAAACCAATGATACCCAATAATGATACGAATATTGTCCTTGGGTTCCGATAAGGGCAAACAGCTGATATGTGCTGCGTAAATTGCTGTGGTCTGATACACTCTGGAGAGAAATGGTCCATCGTCTTATGGTCATGTATGGTCAGATATGGATGGTCATGCAGGCTGCAGCTCTCACGCGGGAATGACTGGAAATAATGCCATGAAAGGATTCCAGCAAGCTCTTGAAGTAACCTCTTGGAGTAACCTCTAGAGGTATTGTTGAGGTACTATTGAGGTATTATTGGCATTATTCTGATTACTCATGGCTATACTTGCTATACTTGCTATACTTCGCTTCGGATCTGGCCGGTATGGACGACTAGGCAGTTGTAGTAATTAACTCGGCATCGTCGGTTCGTCGGTTCCTAACTTCCTCACTTCCTCTCTTCCTACGTGCGTACCTTCGTACCTTCGTACAGTGTAGTGCATAAGTAAGAACGGCTAGAGTAGGTGTCGACGTGAATGGTTAGAGCTCCTGAAGTGCGTATTCGGTTGCTCTGTTGATGAAGGGGCTAGAGAATTGCTTGTACATGCCCTATAAGGTTAAGGAGTAGTTCTTGTGGCGATGTGCTGCGTAAAATCGATTTGTCCCTAGACGATCGAATGAAAATCATCCGTGAGTTGCGGGGGAGTATTGGAGAATATTGAATATCAACAGATCTTCTACTCCTTTGAGTGAACCGTCTTGTCGGAAGGTGTTGGGTTAATACCGTAGGCTCAAATAAAGTCGATCCCTAAACACCGTCGTGGCATGTACCGATAACCATCACAAATCCCATGCTCTCCTTTACCCCTACGTAAATACATGAGAGGCTTAACCAGACTTTATTGCATGCTACGATGTAACCTTGAGCTATCCGCATGCTCTGCAGCACGCTCATTTGGTTCTTGCCGAATTTTCAAAGTTGCCGCCAGAAAAACATTTTACTCGGGGCAAGTCAACTAACTCACGGGTGATTGTGCGTGTCTCCATTCAGAGATATTTACAGGGTTGTGATTTACCTACTACTGCTCTAAGGTATGAAAGGACATCTCGTACTTTACCCATTAGACTTCCGAGCGCAATCAACCAGGCAACCCTTTAGAGTTTGACCGCGCCAGATTATTTTGGGAACGAGGTACATTGGGTTGGGTTGTGATAAAAAGCAATACATACTACATACTACATACTACATACAGATGCCGGTAGGGTTGAGAGAATACCCAGGCAATAATGTCAGTCCCGAAAGGTTGATACCGGCAGATACATCAAAACTACAGGTATCCAATTTTATCTCCTTTACTCTTCCCCAACAACCTCGAGGATTCCACGTTGATGGCCAAGAAAGGAGGATATACTGTACATTAAAATTTGGGATCCCCTTTCCATCTCCTCGGTACCTACTCAAACCTTTCATTATCAAAGTTCTCGTAAGAAGCCAAATTCTCCTGTCAAAACCATAGCGAAGGAGATGGCCGAAAGACAGGTCCAGCAAAATAGACTCGTCGGGTGACTCAGAAAATCGCTGCCAATCTCTTGGGGTTGATCGTGTTTGCAGAGGAAACCCACAATACATATCCGCTTCGCACCGAAAGATCAACCGCGTCTCTCACGCCCAAGGAGCTATAAGGCTTGTCTAATATCTATGAATCTTCGGAGCTTGTCCGACGACCGTGCGTCGTTATAAGTGGACTGGTAGAAATACCCTTGAAATTGTTTGGTGGTTTTACTGTTAGGGCGATCGAGTATGTGAGGAGGCATCGAGATAGAATTTCGAGATGGAAGACTCTGTCTTCTATACAATGAACGGATCTACCAAAGCTATCGAAAACACTGGGGTTTCATACGATTGACAGTAGGGATTAATACACATCTACTATATATGGAGTGAAAGATTGAGATAGGGCCTGGAGAACCACAACATGCTGTAGATCCACGATATCAGCCTTGGAAACATGTGTATTTCTTATCGAAACTTAGTTGAACGTTGCGAAGATGTGAAATGGACCGTCAGCGGATAGCCCTTCCGCAAGTATAAGGTTTTGTTAGAACTTCATGTTAGTCTCGAAAAGAAGAAGAAAAGATGTCGAGAAGGGAATGCCGTAGTCCGTGTAGCGTACGTACGAGCTTACCAATGTCACATGTTCCTCTCACCATCTCGCTTTCTATCTGTTGAAGGCTTGGTGCTTCGTAAGTCCGTAGGTGCCGAGTCGAATAGATTGTCAAACTTGATGCTAAAGTTACGATCATCACCTGCCCTACCCTCCCTCGACTACATCCGACCCCGCAAACTCCGCAATGGCCGCAATGTCCATTGTCCATTGTCCACTCAGAATTGACTTTCTCATGTCAGACTGTACTGGTATGCCTTTGGCACCTGAGAGTCAAAACTCTATTCGATCGGACTCAAAATCGACACAGTCGCCGACACTGAGGGTTTGATCCGGAACTCAAAATTTTGTTTGTTTCAATCCGTGCCAATCTGCACAGGTATAAGGAAATTTACGCGTCCCCAAGACGAGGCAGTGCAATACAGGAGTACGTATTTGGCTCAAGTTTCTGCCTTCGTAGATATGACTGCGCACACGTTCAAGTCTGGTAAGTCAATAAGTTATGCCGCATGTTACTTAGGGGTGCTGTGATGACCAGATTCTGATCATGGCCACGCTTGACCTGTGAGAAGTCTACAAGTTCATTACGGGCACGCGATCTCTCGTGCTCCGTTTGACATTTACTCTTGATTAGAATGGTGGCTGAAGACGGCTATTTTCCGTATCTTCCTCTTGGGTATCTTCCGGATTGCTAAATGTTGACATGCGGAAAGAGCCTTGGTTTGTTTTGCCGAAAAGGCAGTTGAGATCTCGCGTTTGGAAACAATCTCGATTCCCCTATCCCACACAGGGAAGAGTGTTGACTATTCAATGGACTAGTCTTACTTCTATGACCATTGATAAGTGATAGACTACTGCTATGTGTATGCAAATACATAGCTGTGGTCTGAAGTGGCCTGGGCTTCAAACCTGTGGTACATTCAAGTTTTCAAGACTGTTTGAGCTTCTTTATTGATTGGAGCTATAGCTTTCACGATCTCATCCATTATGACGACTTCATTCAACCTCAAATCATTTTTCTTCCTTCTTCAACGGCGCTCGTCATACCTTTCAGAGTTGGTAAACCTCAAAGCTATCTCCGTCTTAATTCCTCTCGACGCCCGACTATTGACTGGCTGCTTTGACTTCCAGTAGGTAGTCACTAGGTAGGTATAGATTTTAAAATCTTCCTCGGGAACCCTTTCATAGCTACCTCGATCTTGAAGTTTCTTCTAGTTAACCTTGACCTTCGATAACTTTCTTTGCATCGCAGCTCGATATTAACTGCTCCACATGTCAACCACTATCTCGGTATATCCTCCGAAGTTTCGAGTATTCTTCATTGGGAATAGTTACATGCTATCAGAAAATGCGGAAGCTCTGCTCCAGCCTCCATCATCACTTTCAGTCAGACGCCGCAATGACTCAGAGACCAAGAGTTCTGGACCATTTATGATGCGATTTTGGCATACATCATAACATCAAAACATCGATGCCTCGAATGCCAGAACCTCAATCCAATGTCAAAGTAACGCTCGTCGATTTATCCCGTTCTATCCGTTCGAATGCCTTCACACCAAACTCTTTCCACGCTAAATACGCCCTTTCACACTGTTAAGCCGAGAACCCCTTAGGATTCAATCCGGCACGTATTCCCTAGATGTGTTGTTCCTGTACGAGATAATTGCTTTTTTTCTGAAGCATTTTCACGCATGAAAAAGGCAATTGACTATCCACATTTTATGCACATTGGTGAACGCCAAAGCTCATCTCTTGAAAACACTTATATCTCGATGCATTATAATACATCAAGCTTTACTCAACACATAAATACAACAAAGTCTATATTAGATGTAAAAATTATAAATATATTCAATCGACGTTCAATTCGAAATATCGATTACTTGATTTGATATTGAATATTGAAAAGCATGTATACCTAGTTCCGTGTACCAAATTCCCTGTCCTGCTGGAGCCTGTGGATAATCTAGAAGTCAAGTGACTTGAATCCAGAACCTTCCTTTTCTTTGGAAATTGTGGGGGGACAGGGGATCTTTTCCCCTGTGGATGTTTTGGATCGCAACAAAACAAAAGGAGACACGATATCATTGTCACAGAAACGACGATTCTCCTTTAAAGAGAAATGTTTCTTCGAATCGAAATTGTTCTAGAAGTCTAGATTTTGATTAACTCCCCACAATTCTCGTTCCGAGAAGAGAGACAATCTACAAACGATCGGGCCGGAAATTAAGGAAAACATCTACGATGTATCTATCTGTCTTCTGGAATTCTCCGATTCCGATGTGGATAAGTCACAGTTGTGATATTTAAAGAACCAAAAGTCTAGAAGTTTGTTTATGTAACTCCTTGAGGGTGCAGCAGAGGGCCCCGAGTGGGGTTAGGATCGTCGAAATCTAGAACTTGTTCCTTTCTACTCGTATCGTTTGACGTATCAGAATTGTGATGATCTACGAACCATGATCGTCACGTAGATTGGAGGTCAGTTGTGAGGACACATACTCAGCAATTGAATTGGATGCTGTATGTTCTTAGTATCAGAGGGGTTCCCGCCCTTTGACTCCCGGTAGTTCTAGTTCCTCTCCATCTTGTGCTTGAGTTTCAGGTATACCATGGATTGTAATCATATCATACGCTGACAATGAACCCTTGGCTTCTTGATAGTATTTCGTGTACAGTCCCTACATTTACTTTATCGTTGGGAGATTGTAGCATGGCCATCTCATTCTCACGCGCTCTAAGGACACGACGCGATACAACGGCTTTCAGCAATAGATCACGATTGGAGATATTGTGTCGTGTCCGCAACTGATGATCCTGTCGTAGCCTCGTCGCTCTAGTAGTACGAATTACTTGAGGAGGTGGGGCCATAATGTTAACAGACCGATGCGGATCATCAGTACGAATGGAAGAGATTGGCTTCAGTTTGGAGGTCGCAGGTGGAATGACAGTGCTCTTAGAAGCTTAGGTGGTGGTGTTACTTGTGTAGATGCATCTCGTAGTTTATGTATCTTCACAGGCAAACGGTGCAATTGTGTCTTATTCAGTCGTAGATAAGTGGCGGGATGAGGTGATGATAGACGGACGGATCGAATTCTGACAGGTGGTATGGGCTTCGCTTCTTTTGTAACCTTCTCTCTGACTGTCTTGCGCTTTAGCACATTCTGTGAAAGCTCTTGGTATTTATTTCAAACTTTAACAGAGTTATCCTCTTGGTGTTTCTGATCATGTATTGGTTTCTTGAGTACATGAGTTGCAATCTTTCGGTAAGGTTGCTGCAGTTTTGGCAGTACTCGGGAGATGAGATGTGACATACTACATATATGTAGATGTTTGCATAGTAGATGCACTATAGCTGGCATTCTTCTATTCGTTGATTTGTTTATCTCCTTGACGAGATTTGGTAGCTTTTCGAGGACATGCTTTGTTTGAGTTTCTATAACCTGAAGTTAGTGAGTTGCTATATGATTGGAACAATGCTTCTCAAGTGCTGTGTTATCTCCAAACTATCTATGAACCTCCGTTTTTCGTACAGGACACCCTCTGATATCGCTCTGTTATGATATACGTGCTCTACACGGAGTACCCTGAACACTTCTACACATATCAGACACTTTCTCTCATATCCTCTAAGTATCATAAGTTTCTTGCAATATCCCAGGGACTCCTCAGGACACTTTATAAGCTTTTGCGTATTGTCAGGACACTTTTACTTCTTTTGCTAGTCAGAACACTTTCTCTCCCTCCCCTCCTGTTGAATATGCGGCCAACACTAACTTATAAAGCTTCTCTTCTTCAAAATGAATGTCTTACTTCCCAGCAGCGACAATCCAGAACACAGCAGCGGCAGCAGTGATTTCTTCCCCCAATTTTCTCCTCCAATAACTAATTCTTAATAAATTCCTTTTGTTGTTCTACAGTTTTCACAGGTCCTAATGGTATATTTTTGTGTAAGTGGAGGCGGAAATGGAGAAGAATGACCAAATTCTAAACTATTAAATGCAAGACAATGTGAGTGCAAATGAGAGATCATAGCAATTAAAATCAAATGTAAACAATCACTATCTTCTATTCAGAAAGCAACTTCAAATTTGTCACAAAGTGAGCTGATCTGTAATTTGGTCAGACAAGGACATAGTACAGTCTTGCAACAGTCTATAATCTGAAATCATACATATAATTCTATCCCTCTAACCAGATAGTAGCAGCAGCAACAACAGCAATAACGAATCCCGGACCAGCATGTACGATACCCATTTTCACGCTTCCATTTTTCGCAATGAACACTCCATCCGTTCCCGCGACGATAATCCCCGCCACCATCAGGATATATGCAATCGATATATAATGTCCAATTCTTGCCAACAAGAATATCGAAGTTCCCGTCGCCAATTGTCGCGTTGCCATTAGTGTTATATAACTTCTTAGGATGGGTGTATCTTTCTCTTTTGGCACGGTGATTCCAAATGTCTTGCTGAAGGTGATGGATGGGATTTAGTAGTGCTTGTATTCCTGTGATTACTGTGGAAACGCCGAAGATGATCGATATTGATTTGAAGAGAAGCAGAAGAGTTGAGGTTGCCATTTTGAGGTTGTCTCTGAAGTGGTTTGAGTGGCTGATTGTTAATTTAGAGGGTCGGGATGTGGAGGACCTGGTCTTTTAAGAAGGATGATGAGTGTTTGATATTGATATTTACTAATCTTTGAACTTTGTTGTCTGGCTAAGTGAGAGCAAAAAGAGCATTAAAGAGGATAACGCTGATTAACCATCAAACAGAGCAAATTAATTTCAATTGTTAGACAGCTGGAGGTTTTTAGACACTCTCTATCTAGACCATGGATTTAAAGATGTAAAATCAAATATCATGAATTTTTCCAGAGCAATTGGCCCCGCTCACTCAGCTTTGCAAATTTAATATTCCTGTTAATAATCCCACTCATCAATGTTTGTATAGTATGTTCCTCCGTTTTTGTTCCCCTTGGTTCGTGCCAATTCATGTGACACCAGCAAGGTCCCCACTCCCAGTAATATTTGTAAATATTAGAAAAGAACTAACCCATACTACTACTCGTCTATATCATCAACAACCACTATTTTTCTTCCTTCCGTTTTCGAGTCAGTCTTGTTTTTCTATATTCGCGACTCAGGGGCAAACGCGCTCAAAGAGGATGAAAAGAAAGTAAATACAATGTATAATGTACGAATATAGAGAAATAATTAGAGAGAGGTGTTTTGAAGTCTATTTGATCCATCCGACTGTAGCCTATCGCTCTAATTTCGTTCCTCTGTATTATAGAGTCTCCCGGCATAAGTGATTTGACGAGCTCTTTTCATTCCCCCTATGGTCGGCAACTGACGACAACAGCAAAGCTACTTTCTCACACAAACATATCATGAGTGGCAAGTGTATTCATCCGAGATATGGTACATCTTATAAGTTCGATCCCCTATATATATAGATAGCGTACCGTTGTGAATGATGAACAGCTAGGGTTATGATTCCTCATTTACACAATGCTTCCTCCTCTTCCCCTGGTACAGATTGGTGAAGCATGATATGTTTGCATAGTTAGACTTGAGACTTTTCTTCGAAAAATATGGCACCGGGAATAGAGATGAATGGGTATGAAGATTAAATACATAGCTGTATTGCACGCAGACATCTTCTAAGTATCATCGATGGAGACAGTAAATAAATTTTATCCCCTTTGAAATTCTAGACACCAACACTGGCAACTTCTATAAACGTGGCATCTTTGGTCAGACCCTTTGCCCCTATCTGGAAGCGATACTGTTGTCAAAAATTGTTTCTGTTTCAGTGAATTACTTATCGGGCTTGTTCATTGAATCTCACATGTATTTGTATCTCAATCCTGAGATGAATAGATTCTACGCAGGGAGTGTATCTGCACTCGTGTCCAAAAAGATGGCGACAAGGTGGACATTTACCCGAAGCAGTGGATAGCAAGTACCATTGCAATGATGATAGACAGAAGCTGCCAAAGATAGGGGTGACTTCGTAGAGCAGCGAAGATGAAGGCATTATTGGGCAGATGCGAAAGAGGGTATTGCCAGCGATAGTCGGTGCACCTGTGTTCTGTGTTGTGTCAATCGCCGCCTCAAACAAAAGTATGCGGGATGGGTGCGATTTCAGTTTCAATGATTGTAACTATATATCATGGCCGAATCACTAGTATTAACTAAAAAAATTCTACCAGCTTATCTGTATAAGCTTTGTGAAAGTGCTGAAGGTGGAAGCCAACAAGAAAGTTGGCCTTGAGTACACCTACACAAGCCTACCTTGAAGGGGATGTAAATTTCAAAAATCGTGGGTTTGAAGGAAAGCAAATCAATGTGCAGTGGCACGCGTATTCTTCCCAAGTGATACTTAATGCCATTTAGGTTGCGGATTAATGCTGTCAAAGCATGTAATGGCAGGTTTAATGAGGACGAGAAAAATGAGTTGAGGGGAAATTAGAAAAGATTGATGACATGGTGATCATTCTAGCACTTCCTAGCATTACCTAAAGAGATTACATGATAGTGAGATGGTCATCGATCATATAATCTGTGTAGGTGAAGAAAGAAGAGCCTTATTCTGCCAGATCATACCTTGAGTTGCAATGTGTGGGATGTGCTCAAGGATCGAGGATGATACTACCAGAAACTTCAAGATGGATACATTGAATAGCAGAAGACGCCAAAAGTCGTTGGTGGAATGAGACTTGGTACAACAACTTGTCGAGTATTGAAATTATTCCAGCTCAACTGAGTTAACGAATAGCTAGCCGAGTGAGGAAGCACAAACGTAAAATTTGGGAAGTTTAGGCTTGGGGAGACAGAAAGATATAGATTAGAATGCTCAGAACTTTGTATTCCGGAAACCTGCATGACGAATATAACAGCCATATAATGTCACCGAAGAAAAAACACAAAGATAGTTGATCAAGCATTCGCCGTTTATCAGAGGCCTAGATCCAGGAGACAGTGAGGTTGGGAGAAAAGTTAGATTGGACGGCAACAAACTTTCTACTCGGCATTATCAACAGAACAAGGCTCTTGCTTAGGAGCTTGCAAGTCTGTAACTACTTCAGAGGACTATGTATCTCCAACTCACTAGCTTTGCATTCAGAGGGGAAGTCTGAGATACTAGGTAGTCATTATTCCATGCGTCATGAAGTGTGCGCCTGCTCAGAAGTAGGAATGTTTCTGGATATGAGTGTAAGTGGACGGTCATAATTGTAGACAGCAGTCAAGCCAATCGCGATGACCAGACTAAATCTACAATTTGAGATAGGGGGGAATATTGTTAGCCGATATGTCAGAAGATAGGCACCAGAGAGGAGAACTCTAAGAAGCGAGAAAAATGTTCAGGATGCTCTGTATCTCAACTGCTTTTCGGATGGCAGGGTTTCCATTTCCGGAAATTGTGCATTTTAGAGTCTCGTTTGATATTAAATTTAGATAGCTTAATGGCTCGAATATACAAATTTTGCGAATTACGAGAAACAGAGAATGCCCATCAATCCACTCAAATCACATCGAATCATTGCCTCGTTCACAACAAAAGAACTGTACAAGAATGCCGCTAATTATTGTGTTGCAAAAACATATCACAGTATCTACAAGGAGATCATTTGGTGACAATATCTTCACGCTCATTCTCCTCATTTTCCAACTGTGATGCAGGATATTTGGAATGGAAGTTCATAGATATCAGACGAGAACCCCTAGAATGCTTAGATCTTCAATGAAATCGAAGCTACAACTACTTAGGTACTTATTAATAGTCGTTAGACATGCGTAATATGCCCTATTAAATCCAAATTTGAACAGATCAAAGTATATACATTTAGACATAAGTGCCTAGGTAGTGAAAGAAATGTAGTGATACTCGGTGTATTCAATTATTCAGAGATCATGAGTGAACAAAAATGTTTCAATTTTTCTAGAGAATCTCATCTCATCTCAATGAGGGCAGATAAGAAAAGAATAGCTTATTGTTCAATCTTGTTTATGTCTTTGACAAAGTTAGGATGAAGATATCCATCAGCAAACCTATCACATGACACAACCGTTAGCTTCCCCACAATAAACCAGGTAAGTTAATAATCAGACTTCCCATCAACAAGCATCCATTGGTAGATAGCCGAATTGCCTCCAGGAACAATGGTCGGCCCGAGCCCACATGAACTAGAATTCCAGTTACACTTAGTACAAAAGTCCATAGGTTATTGGGAAGATATCAAAGAACCACGACCCTCTCTCTCACCGGACGCACCACCATCATCTCCAGAGCCAGAGTCGAAGAAGAAATGGCATCGATTCTTACAATCACTGCGGGGGTTGCTGCAGCGGCGTTTCTAGTAAGTTCTCATTCCCATGTCTAGCGCAATGAATTTCAATTCTAACTGTTCCCCAGGGCCGCGCAGGTCTCGTAGCGTTCAGAAAATCACGAGGAGAAGCCGTCGGCGCACTCGGAAAAGCTTTTTATAAAGGTGGATTCGAGCCCAAGATGAATCGCAGAGAAGCTGCACTCATTTTACAACTCAGGTGCGTTTAATCTACCCCTCTCTATTCCCAATCCATCGCATAAACTAATTTTATCTTCTCCCCGCAGCGAACGACAACTTACCAAAGAGCGCATACGAAAGAATCACCGCACCCTCATGATGTTGAACCATCCGGATCGAGGCGGCTCACCATATCTAGCCACCAAAGTGAACGAAGCAAAGGAGTTTTTGGAGAAGAACGGGTGATCTTTCTTACTTCCGCATACAATTTTCTTGGGGGGTTTTGGATGGATTTTCCTTGGATCAAGTTGGCGATTCGCTTTTCTCGACTTCCGCATACTTCAATTATTCGCGCACATACGATTTCAGCCCTGCTAGATTGACTATTCCTGTGGCTTCTCGACATTCTCTTGCGATTTGGCATGATCCGGTGCGATTACTGCTACGACATCAGCTTGCGAGACACAATAACCCGTATCCAATTTCAACTCCTCTACTCTGCACATCTCTTCTCGAACCAAAAAGGCGAGCGACGACCGCAATCTGATGAACTCCAACCTCGACTTTCTTTCCCTGTACATCAAATTTTCTCAACCCTTCGATTTCACACATTCCCGAATCCTCCTTCAAAAATCTCCACAAATGGCATTATAGCGAATGGCGTTTACATTTCATATTGGCAGCGTGGTGGCGAGGTTGTTTTGTTCATGAATTCTATGATTCATGATGAATTGACGGATAGATGCATGCATGGGTTGGGCGGCGTTTCAATGTATATTATCAATGGATTGATATCACAATCTGAAATCTCCTCTTCTAAGTTACATGAGAATAAACAGATAAGTTCGTCTCCTTGCTGAAGTAGGGAGATGGAATTTTATACGCTCAGATAATTGGCTTGTTATCTATTTTGGTCATGATGAATGTGAAAGCATATGTAGAGCGTTCTTATTGATATACCCAGGTATGTAATGCAACTAATCCTTGCTACGCTATGTAGTCCTCGCACCGCTGTATTCTTCGATATATCTACTGTTTGATGTAAAGAAGCCATGCATAGCTCATCGAGGGAAAAGAGAAAACGAAATTGAAGAATCCCAACGCAATTTCAATGCAAAGTTCTTCGCTGCACCTTCACTCATAACTAAGGAGATCTGATCCAGTGCTCAAAGAAAAGTAAAACGAGATATGCATCTCCGCGCATTCGTAAGCCTCCCCACGAGTGATTTGATCGACCGAGGAATAGAAGACGAGATATATATCTTGGACTCTGCTCAACCTTATAATCTCACATTCCAAGCTAGGTACGAGAAAAAATCACATCTACCACTTAATCCTACGTGCTCTCTGCTGAGGCCACGGACCTTCGTCAGTACCCTTTGCATCTTCTTTCTGCTGTTCCAGGAGTTGGAGCGATGCATTTGCCGAGAGATCCATGGGAATTTTACCCTGTTCTTGAAGTTCGGCAAGAGTAGCATTTTGCATTTTCTGTTCGAGACCTGTCATTTCGGGGTCGAGAGGTGTAGATGTGGAAGGCTGATCGGTGGAAATGGGAGTAGTGGTTGATGTTTGGGCAACTGGAGCTGGTACAGCAGAAGTCGTTGTGTTCCGAGTTGTCCATTCTCGACCCCAGTCACCACCTGTACGGAGTTGAGATGTTGCTTGATCCTCGGGATTGCCCTTGCTATCGGCATTCGAACCACTACTGGTGCTAGCTGATGACTTGAAATTGGGACCTAGACTTTTGTATCCAAATTGCTCTGCAGGTACAAGTGCTGGCTCAGGTGTAGAAGCAGAAGCAGAAGCAGAGTTCGTCTTAGATTTTCCCTTCTTTGTTGGAGTAGCCGGAGGGGTTCCCCATCCTCCCTGAGAACCTTGGGTTTGGCCTTGAGCAACACCGACCCAAGAGGTAGCAGCAGTAGTACCTGAATTGAAACCTTTAGGCCACAATTCATTCACATCTGTTACCTTTGGTCTTCTACTCGCAGCCTTATTAGCAGCATCAGCTGCTTTCTTGGCGTTTGCTTGCTCGGGCGTAATACGTTCACCACCGTCGCTACCATCAGAAGACCAACCTTCTTCGCGCTCGTAAGCTAATTCTACTGCTTCTTTCACGGCTCTGATTGATAAATTAGCATATTTGGCGAAACTCAGGGCATAAGAGCGGGAGGAAAGATGGTTAAGATGACAGGTAGACATACTCAGAGATTCTATCCTTCTTCAACTTGTCTTTCTCCTTTCTTTCAATCTTCCTATCCACCAAGTGTTTACAAGCGATTCCCAACATAGCTTGCAAAGTATACACAGCATCATTACCCGCATTATGTAAATTCCAGGCCGCAATACCAATCTCCGCAAGTATAGCAGATAAACTTCTTGGGTTAACTTCCCGCTTCAGAGCTCGCCACATGAGAGTGGTATCGCAACCTTCATGTAGTTTAAGATTATTAATTTCATAGCCGATTTGTCGAAGGAAGCGAATATCCGCATCAACGTCGTGACCAACAAGGATGATGTTACGTTTCTGATCGGCAAGATCGGGAGATGGAGAAGGGTCGGAGAAGGGATATTTGAAACAGCTACCAATTACGCGGGGTGCATCATCTCTACAGATAATCTCGCTCGTGCTGTTGGGAAACAAGTGTCAGTAGTAATTCAAATGCAAGCGGCAAAGGAGGAAAGCAAGGTGTCCGGTAGTCCGTAGTGGTAGACTGGATGTAAAATTTGAATTGCATCCAACCGTACAAAATGGGTTGAATGATTCATTTCATTTTGATGATGGTGGATAGGTCATCGCTATCAAACTTCGAAGTAGACCATCGAAGTCCTTGAGGAAAAGCGCAACATCATATGAACTAAAAGGTCACGGGAATTTTGAACGGAAGAAAGAACATACCCAAATTCAAAACTACCAGCACATCCCTGAACATGTTTTGTGTTATTGAGATGCATGTTCTCCTTGATACGGAAATGTCTTGCACGAATAGCCTTTCTCCAGTTTTCGCCGAGTTCACCCGGTTCCATATTAGCAATATCTAGAACGTCTAGAGTAGCAATACCAATTTCTGTAATGATGTTGTTGTTCATTTCATAAGCTTCAACATCTATGCAGACAAAAACGACTGCATCTTCCATCATAAACTTTGTAGGTTTCTCCGGATCATAGAAGGTGTCGTTATCTGAGGAGTTAGTTGGTGTGCCATTATCTGATCGTTTGCGCAACCCTAGATAACGCTGAACACGCTTGGTAGAATCCTTCCAAGCTTTTTGTTTGGCAACTCGCTCGACTCGTTGCTTCTCCTTATTAGCAGCTTTTTTGTTCTTTGCCGTTAGATTCAGAGCTTCAATCTTGGCTCTAAAGGCTGCAAGTGATGTATCTACAAGTGGCTTTGCGATAGGGGGCTCGCCATCAAGTTTGTAGTATCGAGGTGGGACGTTTTCTCTCAACTCATCTGCCATGTTTTTGTTGAGTACTCGCCCAAGATATCTGGGATAAGGAGTACCGTCGTTGCTAAAGACTGCGTCAAATGCGCCTGCTGATCCAGAAGGAATAGTAAGATTTGTACCAAGTGATCTGTTGATAACAGCCAGAAAATACTCAACTTGCTTAGTAGGGACAAGGATTATCGGGCTTTGATTCGGATCTTCTCTCAATCTATATAGGTAGAAGCTGTCTAGTGTTAGAAAAACGAGAGGGAAAGCTTCTCAACGCCCCTAAATGGGTGGTAACAAGTCCAAGGGCAAAGAAGTCAGAGTCGAGAAATAGATAAGACTTACAAATCCCAAGTTTGCAAATAGCATTTACCTCCGTAGAAGAACTGCTCCGTGACCTGCAAATTTGTTAATATAGAAGAGGATTTGTAAGATGGGAGAAGCGGGTGGGTGGAAGAAGTCCATCTATGTATGTAGTGAATGATCTACTCAAGTAGGACGATCGACGATCGACCCCGCAGTAGATATGACAGAGATCGATACAGGTGGGGGGATAGTGCTTGAGTGCCTTACCCTTGGTCTATTTGCATGGCCAACATATCTGTATGCATACTGCGATACGGTCTTCCAGGGACAAAAGCTCTCTCCCTCTGGAGCAAGCTGACCATAGTCTAGTTTCTTGTACTCCTGGAAGTCATTAGGACCCAGTTCAGGATCTACACCTCAAAATTAGTATGTTTTACACGGAGTAAAATAGTTTGACATACAAAGCAGTGGCGCCGATGACCCATAGTGATGTTGGTTCATACCCGCTCGCATTCCGGCCGTGATGTTTTCCCCGTCGTCAAATTGAAGATCCTCATTTTGGTGCTGCTCAGGAACATTGCTACGTTGCTTCGATTTCCCAGCGTTTGATTGGGGTGGAGAATCTTCTTCTTCGGAGGTACCCTCGTAAATATTGTGAGATTTAATTGTGAATCCCTCCGGAAGCACGAAGGCTTCTTCGCTCTCCGTTTGCGTTTCCTCCATATCAGGATTGTCGTAAACTTCTTGTTGGCCGGTCAAGGCTCTGAAGCGATCAACCCGATCGTTCATATTGGGTTGAAATTTGAAAGTTTGAATTGTTGTTATGATACCGTTGTAGAAGGTTCAGGGAAGGCGCAAGGAGTTGGGCACGAAGCAGGAACCAAATTTAACCGGCTTCCTTACTCTCTTGAGCATCCACTTGTCTGTGAACAAGTCTCCGCCTTTGATATTCACTCTGATTACCTTCTTCAATCCTAGGTACTTCCTTTACACTTGATAGATCTTTGGCAGAAATATGGTGTAAAACACTGTCATGAAAGTGACAATGGCAGTCTGATTGCAATTTTTGTCACCTGACTTTGACCAAAGCAAACTTGTGAGAGACTGCCTCAGGATATATTTTGCCAGTTGTCGTAAAACTGTCACTTGTGGAAAATCCAGGAAGTTTTTCTGCCCCAATATAGATAGATAAGCAGAGTATTTCCTAAAACTGAGCAATAATTTATTTCATCCCCTTCATGAATGAAGTGTGTATGCCATCTGATGTGAAAATGTTCATCTTTAGCGTGCATTTCATGAAGCGAGATTATAGCGTCTTTCATCGGAGAAACCCCTATAATAAATGAATATCTAGAATGGTTAAATCTATTACTAACCGCTATCAGTTAACCCAATGTTACTCTATCTCCCGCACATATTTTCTTTAAATCATGGTGCATAGATCCTCCTCCTGCCATGAACCTCGAGTTACATGTATATATAATCTTCCTCTAGTCATGGTCCCAAAGTATTGGCAAGGATTGAATCTCCTGAATCATCATATTATTACATACGATGATATCGTCTAGCTAAAACTAGCCATCTTCCAGCCAGTTCATTTACTTTTCGTTGTCTTCTCTAAGAGATGAACAAATATGGCATCATCTACCACCATCTTACTTCCCCTTGAAAGATTAAAATAATATCACAAAAAGTAAGCAATGCACATAGGCATATAACAACTCCTTGGCACCTGTTCGTAAAGCTCGCTCCCAGCTCCCATATCATGTTAAATAACCCAATCCCAGCCATTGCATGCCGAGCAATACCATGCCAACTAAGCCATCATGCCAGATGAGATAGATATCACCCGCTGTGCCGAAACGCCACTAATGCAAAAAATCGAACACCATCCCACCATTATCTTCGCTGAATTTTTCCCACCGAACCACCGTACCCCCCATCCGTACCCCGATTTTTCCATCAAATATCGTAAATGTAGCAAACGGTCATCAGAGATTATCTAATGATACCCCAATCCGCAAGTCTCCCTCCACCCGCATCGCAGTCATCTTTTTGCCCTGGCTTTCTACCGAACACATTCCAGAACCTCAAAGTCTCATCGCCTGCACCTGTTACCACAACTCTACCATCAGGACTCATTGCCAGGTATAATACTCTGTATGTATGACCTGTAAGACTAACGACCTGTTGCATGCTTGGATATTTCCACACTACAATTTGGTTTTGTGAATAACCATGGGTAGATACGATCTCATTCGAGTTCTTTGACCATGCAAGATTGCATACTTGAGAGCCAGTATCAACTTCATTGAGTTTGATACCACGCTTAGTATCATGGAATATAATACGGCGATCTGCGGTACCACCTCCAGATGCAAGAAGACCACTCTGATGAGGAGACCAAGCAATAGCTTTGACAGCAGCCGTATGATCACTGAATTTGTAAGTTGGAGTATCAGATAGCTTGTCCCAAACCATAAGTTTGTTATCGTTGCCACCTGATGCGAGTTGTTGATCATCGCAATTCCAACGAAGACCGCAAACTTCTTGCTTATGTCCCACCAGTTTCCTCAACCATTGATCTGGGGCTCGTACATCTCTGTGGTAAATGAGACGATCTCTGGAACCAGAAGTGAGGATGTGATCGTTCCAAGCAAGGGAACCCACTCGAGCTGTATGACCCGTCATTGTTCTTAAACGTCGTACACGTTCTGCATCCCAAATCTGGACAAATCCTTTCCCGGTACCAATGGCAATATGAGAGCCACGTTGAATCCACGAGACACTTGTGACAGTATCGTCGTTTAGCTCGCAAAGCTTGTTGACTCTTCCAGTCTGTGAGTTCCACATATATACACAAGAGCCAAGTCCTACTCCAAGAACATTGCTGCTGCCCCAATCCACAAGGTTGAGGTAGAAATCATCGGCTAAATCAGGAGCATCTAATACCTTGTATGGCACTTTGCTCACAACTCGAGGTTGCTTGCGTGGACTCATTAGCATCTGTTGGCTATTGAATCGTACCGGAGAGACACTGTAGAGCTCTGATCTAACATCCAGATTGATTCCATGTCTACTCTGAGGTGTCCGCGATGGAGTGGGATGACCAGCGATATTAGTATGATGCCGCGGTGACATATACGTAAAGAGGTTCTTGTGTGGAGTAGAAGGAGTAAGTGATGCAGGTAGTGATGAGACTGCAGGTGAAATGTGAGGTGGAGTGTGGGATCTAGTAGGATCATTGATAGTTGTTGTATGTGATTCAGGTGATAAACTGGTAGGTGTGGGTTGTGGGATTGTGGTATCAAAGAGCTCGGACCTAAGCAAGGTAGAGAATGTCCTATTGGCTTCCTCGGCTGGTTCAAGATTAGCTAACGGCTGGTTTGGGATATTCACTGTTGACCTACTCCTTTGAAAGTGTAGTTCACCATGTGGGGTACGCTTCTTTTGTTTAGAAGGTGTCGCTGGAGACCCCTCATCATGCAGTAAACTGAAGCTGGCTTGTAAATCTTGCCCTTCCCGATTTGGAATAAATCTACACATGAGATGTCAGTACACTGTCCGATAAAGCAATTTCCGGTCTTGCAACATGCGCATATTCAGTTTTGACCTTGGAGAGTTCACATTCTTCAGAGGAGCAACTTTTGAAGGTCAAACCAACAAAGATCAAAACCTGTCTAGAACAATTATTTTGGACTTTTCATGTTTCCAAATTTTCGCAAACACAAAGCCGCAAGGGAAAAAAAGCCATATCTCTTACCTGTCGCCATATACTCGTTGTCGCTTTCTGCTTGGGCTTCCTCCAGGTGTGATATCACGATGCCTACCGCCGGAATCCTCGAACTCTCTCATGAGGGCTTTGCTCAGCGCATTCGAATCGACCGCATCAATATTGGAGCGATATGTTCTGCTTGTATTTCTTGACGAGTTTACGTTCTCTCCCTGTGGTTTCCGTTCCGTCATTCTCTTGCTTGTTGTGGTAGGAGGGGTCGATGAGCGGGGTGGTGTGGATATTGGCGGGGTATTTAAAGAATGTTGAGTCTTTTTGAGATTCGCATGAGATTTGGAGGAGCTATAACCTGGGTCGCCGTTAATCCCCATGGTGATTATTGCCTTGGAAGAAAAAGCAAGCAGTTATTGGTTGAAGGAGCTGCTGGGAAGTCTTCCAGATAATGTAACTAGAGACCTAATGCCCATAAAACACTGCTGCAATTTTCGAGATCAATCTAAGTCCAGGGTTGAATGGTACTGTCGTTATGCGCAATGCGATCGTCGCGTCGTTGTGGTAATAACTTTCGTATCAATGTTTTGGTCTCCGGTGGTTCGTTTCCCTGCCACCCATCTATTGTTGTACTAAGAAAGGTCCGCAATCAATTGTAGGCTCGCTTTGCCGCCGTCCACACGTGCTTGGCTAATCGCAAAGTCACCGATTTCGCTCTTGAAAAAAATCCTCTTCAATAATTGTATGCTGTTGACTGATCTCTACAGATGTAGATCGTCGAGGGTTGTGGTTGTTGATAGATGGGGAGTTGATAATATTTTGGAGTCGAGGCGGGAGATGTAACGCTATTCCCTTATCGGCGACACCCTACGCGAATGTTCCGGCTTCCGTAATGACTGAATGCTTGAATGCTGCTTTTGGTAGCTGTTTGCAAACCACCTGCTGTTGGGATTAATGCGAACGATTGAATTGAATGAACCTTGGGATGAAGATTTCCCATGGAGAATGCAGAAAACAGTAAGAATAATAATGGGTGAAGTGTTCTAGGTCGTGAGTTCAAAAATTGCTATATTGTTAAGTTTACAAGAACGAATGTAGAGTAAAGTGGAAGTGAATAGAGGAGAGGAGAGGAGAGGAGAGATTTCCCCCATCACATTTCCCACGGTGCCGAATGCCCCCTACAATTGAATGGAACAACGCGACCTTTATCGCTTCCCTCTCATTTACCATCGCGACTACTCCATCTCAGAGTCAAATACTCCTTACAATGGGATGAAGCAAAGCAAAACCAAAACAAAACAACGCCTCAATATGGTAATATGTGGTTTCACACGTCTTGCTCTCTTGGGCTTTGTTATGAGGAGAGGGTACCTGGAAACGCGAATGGTATTCGTCCGACTGGTCATTTTCGAGTCAGGGGTTTCCTGCATGCAACACTGGGAGAAATTCATTGGTGACGATTGCATTGAGCGCGTAAAGGACTACGGAGGTTCATATGTATCATCAATGTATTTTGATAACAACATTCACGAAAAGATGGCTTGTCTCGCACGAACAATAAGATTCACATGGATCGGGGGGAGAAGGATGTCAAAACATAACTCAAATTATTGAATGCTGGATAGTAGTTTGATAGTTTCGGTACTCCAAGAAGTGGCATTATGTGACGAACGGATGTACCGGAACACTGTACTGTTCTGTATACCAAACGAATTCCATTCAATCCGTTCAGAGTAATGAGAGTAATGAGTGTACCTAGGTAGGTATTAAGAGTTAAGAGCGTTATTAAGAGTCTTAAGAGTCTTAAGAGACCATACCTCGCATACCTAACTAATATTACATATTAAGCACCCGCAGTTCGTTCTTTTAGCCTTTTAAGAGGCCGCTCATAGTAACAGGTACCGAGCTGGTAGTTCATTCGAACTTTCCCGAACATCGAACATGCCATTTTTCAAATGTTCTTACGAAATACTTTCTCATCATCAAATCTGGCTAACGGCATAGCCATGAACTCAAAGATATCCACTACTCGTACTAATAAGTGTTATAATATATACTCGGTGCTAGGTGGGTAGATGAGAGGTACAACAACATTGACATTCCAACCTTTCCGATTCTCTCTACATCGTACTAATGGAAGCGATGGAGATGGTTAGATCTCGTGTACGACCGATCGAACACGAGAAAGAAAACAACGGGAATTGGTGTGTTTATATACCCTTTCAAGAAACACAATTCAATTCAAAGTATATTAGTTACTACTTACTGTATTTTCCTTTGCTTTACATTGCAATGATTGCATATACAATTTCCAACCAATAATACACAGAGCAACCCGTACTTTCCACTGCTAATTGAATGGCGGTATGGTTGCCAATTTCCTGCCCTGGGGAATTCTCTGTCGAAGGCGGGAAACCATCGTTCCCTACTAAATAGCTCAACTAATTTGGAAGAATATTGGGATCCACGCATGAAATTAGCTCTTCAACTTCTCCAAGCGACATGATTTGGCGGGACTCGACGGGCTGGCGGGGTAGGAAAATGCATTCCATCCAAAGAAGTGAGGATAAGGTTCAAACAAACCCAGTTTGTGGAGCCGTGAGCAATCCCCGCATTTCTCCCGATTTCCCACTTCCTCCATATTCCAAGATCAACATCCTGGGTAAAGGGCCACCGACTTCTTGATCTGTTCTCCTTCGAGCTAAGCCGCCGATTTTCTCGGTCATATTTTGCATATCGTGGGGAATTACACGAGTTTGAATTGCTATGCTACCAGTCCAAGACTGGGGAAACCTCGAGTACCGGTATGTCATAATAACTCATCACTTGACACTGTGAGAATTAGCATTTTGTCATCAATCATGGTGATTAGCCATTCAAAGTAGGTTCATCTGGTCTAGCGGCGGGGGGACCGGGGGGTTTAGTCAATTTTCAAAGACGAGTATATAAAGATGGCAAATATCCAGCTAGAGTAGAAAGAAATCATCCCCAACATCTTCTCACAATGTTTCGCCTTACTTCTTTAGCCGTTACTCTTCTGGCCGCTGTATCCAGTGCGCAGGAATCGAGTTCAACTTCGGCAACTGTCTCAATTTTAACGTCGGATAGCAGTGTCCCAACCGATGCACCTCTGCCGGGTGATTATACTGGAGCATTGCGACCTCAGATCCATTATTCTCCACCTCAAAATTTCATGAATGATCCCAATGGACTTTTCAGAGATGCAGATGGAGTTTATCATGTCTATTATCAATGTGATTGACTCCCGAGTTTCCCGCAACATGACGTCGCTAATAATATCTTAGACAATCCAACACAAACTGTAGCCGGAAACCAACATTGGGGCCACGCAACATCCAAAGATCTCTATCACTGGGACAACCAAAAGATAGCGCTTTATCCTGAAAATGCCGACGAGGGAATTTTCAGCGGGAGCGCAGTGGTCGATGCAAACAACACATCTGGGTTTTTCCCGAACCAAACTAACGGTGTAGTCGCGCTTTACACCCTTAATACCCCTGAGTCTGAGACCCAAAATCTTGCCTATTCCTTTGATGGCGGATACACTTTTGAGAAATATGCCCAAAACCCTGTCATCCCATCCACTTCTACTCAATTCCGTGATCCCCAAGTCACATGGTTCGAGGACCATTGGGTGATGGTAGTTGCCTATGCTCGGGCCTTTGAAATCGGTATCTTCACCTCCCCTGATCTCAAAGAATGGACCGCCACTTCCAATTTCAGTCACCACGGTCTTCTAGGCCTCCAATACGAATGCCCAAATTTGGTCCGCATGCCTGTTGCCAATGGCACCGGAGATGAAGACATGTATCTCCTTATTATCTCCATCAATCCAGGTGCACCTCTCGGCGGTTCCACGACCCAATATTTCCCCGGTACATTCAACGGCACGCATTTCACCCCCCTCGATTCCGCAGCCCGTCTCACCGACTTCGCAAAAGACAACTATGCAGGCCAATTCTTCTCCGGGATTCCAGCAGATGAAGACCCTGTTTTCTTAGGCTGGGCCAGCAACTGGGAATACGCACAACAAGTCCCAAGCGGAGACCTCGAAGGCTGGCGCAGTGCCATGTCTCTCCCCCGCCGTACCCATCTCGCAAACGTGACGCGTACAGGCTGGGCCCTCATCCAATACCCATACGACATGACGCCCCTATACAATGCATCAGAACCCCTCGCCTCGAGCGACAACCTCGGAAACGGAAGTCTCATCGCCGACTACTCATCCATTTCCAGCGGCGCCATCTACATCAGCTGCAACGTAACCAACATCCCCAGCAACAGTCTCGCGCAAGGAACCCTCAACTTCACCTTCTCCTCCTCCTCCACCCGGGAATCCATCTCCGGAGGCATCTATCTCGGAGGCGACGCGCCCTTCTGGCTTTCCCGCCGCAACCTGCACGGTTTCGCCGAAAGCAACCCCTTCTTCACCGATCGCTTCTCCGTCGGAAACACCATCAACGACCAAGGAACCTTCCAACTCGACGTCGTCATCGACCGATCCATTCTCGAAGTCTTTGTCGACGCGGGGAGAAGCAGTGGAACCATTACATTTTTCCCAGAGGGAATCCTAGATACCGTCGAAGTGAGAGCTGCCGGGCTTAATGAGGGTGTGCTCGTGGATGCCAAGATCTGGGGCTTGGAGGCCGCGTGGAGTGACATGGCTAATGATGATGGCATTGTATATGGAAACGTAACTACGGCTGCGAATTAATTGTTGTAATTGTGTGGTAATGTAGTAATGAATTCGGAGGACTCGGAAAAAAGTAGAATAGAGAATACGATTTTATGAATGTATATTTTGTTATTACTAGACCAACATTTTTAGTTTAGGTGCCCTCTGTCGCCCGTCTGAATACATATCATATCGTATCATCGCCGTGTACTAGGTAATCATAAATGATTATAGCGACAGAGGTATATTATCAACGAAAATTTTCAAGAATTCGTGGAATAGATGAGGGGAGTTGGGCAAGGTAGCCAAATCATGGTATACACATTAATCGAATCGCAAGCACCACAGTTTTGACCATGTATTTATTCATATTTTTATATTTTGCTTGATTACATCCAGCCCATGCCATTTGAAGCGGCAGTAAGCATTATTAGGATCGAAGAAGTATCTACAACTCTCCATCGATTGTGAGCAAACCCAGACTTTCTACGAGAAATTTCTGAGCGACTTTATGTCTTCTTAACCAGAACCCAGGGGTATCGTATTCTTGGGCACAACCTAGAATACCATTCCATCATTTATCACTCTTGCCACTCAAACCATTACAAAAGCCCACCCATTGAAGCAAAAAAAACACCCCTCCCCATCTGGTTGATCGAATTCCAAATTATCGAATTCGATTCATCTATGCGGTAGCGGTGGCGACGGGAATTGAAATGGTTTGGTTGGAATAACATCCATCGACGTGGTTTACATCGGCGCAGGCGAGGGTAATGGGGGTATCTGCGGATCTGAGAACTTTTCCTAAATTGCTGTGAGGAATGATGTATTAGCAATTATCTTTGCGAAATGTACATCTCAATTCCCCGGACCCAGCTTGGTAAATTCGGTGGGGAAATTGAGGGAGGGGGAGGGGGCGAGGAATAACGTACTCGGCACCAACGAAACCATGAATCAACTCAATACTGAATTGAGTGAGGGATGTATAATCAGTAAATTGCCAGTAGAAATCATCCATCAAATTTCCGTTGTTGTTGCATGGAACCCATCCGGTAGGGAATTGAGTAGTTTGGGGTGAGCCTAGGAAATCGTCGTTGCAGGCTGTGGAAGTATTGCTGTTGGGGTCGATGAAGGTGACTATTTACTTTTGTTAGTTGGTAATTTCAATGATTTGGTGGCGAATTTTGAATTGGAGTATAGAAACAGTAGGATAAGATGTGCGCAGTTATTGGAGATAACGAATGAAATAAACAAAAGAGTAAACATACAGGAAATGGAATCATCATAAACGACGGATCCATTACTCTTGTCAACAGCAGATCTAGTAACGATGCCCTCAATAATCATGTTCTGGATAGCAGAACTAGAAGCAGGGGCAGCAGCATGGACGGTATTGAGCTTCAAATTGAATTTCTTTTGGGAACCACGGGCAGCAATGCGAGGCTTTTGAACGGAGATAGCTTCTGCTGTGGCCAAAAGACCGACGGCGACACTGAGGAGCTTGAAGAATTGCATTTTGAAGGTTTTGATTGTTTTGATAGGATTGAAGGATCAAGAATTCAAAAAACTTCGATTGTAGATCGAAGTATGGGAAGAGGTAGGTAGGTATTTAAAAAGAATGAATGGATTTTGATGGTTGTAGTTGTGGATGAGAGAAAACAGGATGTTGATCTGGAGACAAGGTGAGGTTGATATATGATGAAATATAAATCGACCACAAGCGAATCGCGGTTGCAAGCAAAGGAATATAAAGTAGGCACCTAAACTAAAGCAAAGCACAAGCACAAGCAAAGGATAAAAATAAAATTGCAGATCCCCTGATCTAATTAGTGAGGCAGGTACAAAGTGAAAATGTCCACTATGGTGCAGTACAATGAAGATCGAATCATATGACAAACGGAATTTGGACGGTGAAAAAGTTGAAGGCTGGAAACTCCTTGTTTTACAAGAATCTCTCGGACCAGACGGTGTGTAGAGGGATAATGGAAATGGAGCAATGAAATAATAGGGGACCAATTTGTTTTGTTTCGTTTCCTTCCTTAAGGTTTGCAGTTCTTTTGTACTACTGCTGCATATACAGATGCATCTGGTGGGAAACACGGAAAGAGGAAAGAGGAAAGAGGAAAGAAACATTATGATCTGCCTGCCTCTGAGATCCTTCCATCACTTTGATCCATGAGTTCTCCATAATTCATCCATCGCCATTCTCCAATGGTAGTTCCGAATTGACCAGAGGCATGAGCCATACGCATTGTTGTCTTAATTGTCCATGGTTATTTCAAAATTTCATGAGTGAAGGATGAAAAACAAAGCGGTTGAGGAAAGGATTCACGTCAAATATCAATTGGTATTCACATATTAGAGTAGCCTTAGCCGCTACCGTCATGGTGTTTTCCCTGGCTCAACCCCTGGCTAGGAGAATGAAAGAGGTCTAGCGAAAGGAGGATGGTCCTTGTGAAGTTGTAATATGCTTAAGTAACTTGCAACTCGACCGCCCGGTACCTGAACAACTTTAATATATGGATCTTGGCATTTGGATCTTAAGATGGAGATCGTCAAGATTGGACGAAGATCAAGGAGCTTTTGAGTGTATTTGAAACGTTGGGCGTTCTGGTAGAACATGGAATGGACTTGCGGGGCAGAGGCAGTAAGTGCTGTCTGTTTTGGTCCTTTCGTGAATCGTATGACATACCTAGGAGGTAGCTTGCCTCCCTAGGAACCTGGTATGTACCGCATGGAGGATTGCTGTGCCTAGGTGTGATTGTTGAGTGAAGAAAAGGGGTTGATGCTTTTCTTTCTCTCGTCAACCATCAAAGCTACCTATGAATTTGCCTCTTGATGTGTTATCTTCGTGATGAGAGATGAGGGCTTTGCGTTTCTGCATTCATGATAGCGAAAGACGCCGAATGAGATGCCGGTAGAGCATGCACTTTGTTCGCTGTACATTAGCACTACGACGCTGAGGCTATGCAAAATAAATAGAAAAAATGCGGAGATCTTAATGCTGTCATCCAAAGGTCTCCAATCAACCAAGATTGGCATAGATCTACCGCAGATTTGAGCCCCCATTCCACCAAACGAAGTAATGAATAACGGGAGCTGACCCTGAAAGGGTCGCGGGGTTTCCTTCATTCCTTGACATTGGCTTTACAAATCTACAAACTCTACGATAGAGTTACAATGACTATTCTCATAGCTTCATTTCTGCTGTCATCCGGATAAGCCAACGTCTTCTCAATTCAATCATGGGAGCAATATTATTGCCGCAGCTGCAGATTAATCTTTCTAATTATCGAACATCAGACGTCCTGAAATCAAGATTTGAGTCTACAGCTCACCGATATTTCCTCCTTTACACAATTATTCGACGAGATGACAATTTATCCGAAAGGCGAGTATATTTTTAGAATGGTCCCTTTGAAAAGTACTTTTGAGTCATCAAATAAGTCATCAGAGGCGTTTGATGAAACGGGTATTGGGACGAAGGAAATTATCAAGGCTGGAATCTTATGATTTATCTTACATGGCGGCGCGCCGGTGATACAGCATATGCCGTTACCGGTGTTGAATGACAGCCCGATATCATTCGTCCGACAGTAGGACATCCACCCACAAGAATACGTATCCGGCCACTGAGCAGAGCTTCAATAGTAGCACCAAATCTTCTCGCTGTATGCACGGTAATTTCATGGGTGAAATGACAATCCGGGGCATCTCGAGCTACATATCCAACCCCCAAATCTCACGAGGGTCCGACTTCCAAGCCTACATAGCTCGGAGAACAGGTATAGATTTCTAGATACATCATTTACTCCTATGCAATAACCCGGGACTTCTCGGCTCAAATGAATTTTGGTTGCATTTTGATCAAATGCCAGCTTGTGGCCAACCGACCATTTTTTACCACGTTATGTATTCATGGAAGAATTCGCCTGAATGAATGCAGGTGTTAGGTCAAGCTTTTCTTCTCGTGCTTCGGAAGAATTTCTAAAAATATCTACAGTACCTTAGGGTTCTCTTAGTTTTCTGTGCCCTTTCGAGAAAGGAAATGTCGCAATTTTTGATTGGGCGTTTTAATTATTGACCATGAATTTTCAATAGTCAAATGCCAAGGGGTTCGAGGGAGAGGTCGATACTAACGTCTGCAGAGCTTCTTAGCATCGCCGTTGATAATACAGAAACAGGTGATAAGACAATTTCATAAGATAAGGTAAAGGAATAATAAGGAGGTACCTACATAGGGTGTACGGTAGACACTGTACAGTCTTTGAGTTCAGTAGGTAATCAATCCTCCAGCGCCTATGATGGTGGATTAGATACCTATGAAATTGGATACATCGCCTAATTATAACATCCACCAGCACCACTAAGACGTCATCAACATCAATATCCTCAATATCATCATTATCTATGATCTACGATATGCTTTGGAGATTAGAATCGTTTACCTTGCCGTTAACACCCAGATTCTTATATCCAACTGATCTCTTCTTCAAGAGGGTTACATATTACTGGTCTAATTATATGCTCTTGATGCTCTGGTCAATTACAATGAGATCCTTCATATTATCCTTCATATCCTTCATAGATAGGTAATTCTTCCGATTAAATCTCGTGGTGATCTTCTGGTCATCTCAAGAAACATCAATAGTTCATCCTACGTTAATCCACTTTCATCCAATACATGAACCACATCCATCTATCTTTTACGTTGGCTTGATGCATCCAGTCTAATACACATGTAAGCTGAGCGTGCCTCTGCATATATACGTACATACATATCGGACATACACACATGCTCGAATGTCAATATCTATATCAATTCCAATAGCAATAGCAATAGCAATAGCAAAATCCAAAATTCTGTTCACCTAGGTAGCCTTTGATGAAAGATGACAAGCAACGAGATGCAATAAACGATGAAATCAAGATGATACCGAGAAATATCAAGGAAATGAACGTTCACTGTCGAGTAAGATGTTACATCGCATAAACCCAGCCTTTTATTCCAACAACGTCGAACCGCCGCAATCCCAATT